AAGACCGGGAGGGCAGGGAGGAGGGGGACAGGGAGGACAAGGACGCCAGACTGACGACGGGGAGGACGAAGAGGGTGGAGGAGCAGAGGAAGACCCAATAATGAGCTCGATGACTCCCGGGCAGGCGACACCGGACCAACCGTGAAACGCAGGCAGCGTCGCGCGAAACGGTTGGAGCGCAGCGCCTCCTCTCAACAGTCGGGGGCGCGCAAACATGGATGAGCGATCCATGGACTTGGCGCGTGGTCGCCAAATCCATGGACCGGCGGAGGTGCCCTCCCCAAAATGCGGCTCGTGCCGCCTCGTTCGGCGGCGGAAACCAGCGATTTCCTATGGAAACGGGACCCGTCTCTAATCCACGCCCCCTTGATCCATGTCTGCGATCGCCTGAAACAGGCCCTTCGGCCTCGCCGCCGCCAGCTGCAGCTGCTCCCGAGGCAGGCCGACGGCCAGCGTCTTGTTGTCCGCCACCGGTGCCGCACGGCGAGGTGGCTAAAACATGGAACACGTGTGCAACACATAGATTTTCGAAGGTCCGCGCGGATTTCATGGATCGGCGACGGAACCCGCTGCCCGGCGGGAGGCGCCAGCGGCGCCGCCAGGGGGTCCCAGCGCCGATGCAAGAAATCCACGCGGACCTCCAGCAGTTTGGGCTCATGCTGATTTTTCGTCGTCAGGTGCTTGAGCTCAGAATGCGTCGGGAACGCGTGGTGCTTAAGTTTGAGCATGCTGATTTGCTGGCATTTGATGACTCACCTTCTGACATTCTGTCTAGGGCGGTAATCGAGCTCAGATTGCGAATGCGCCACCGTGCCGCCGATACTGCGTGGGGTGCCCTGAGGCCCCTTCGATCCCACAAAACTGAATATTGTAGATAATCATCACGAGTCACAAACTCACCGCTCGAAAGTCTCCTGCGGCCCTCTTCGCCTCTGGGGCGTTCCGCGTGACTTTTCCCGGAGGCCTCGCGAGCGTAGCTCGGAATCCAAGCGTCCAGCTTACGCTAAGATGGTCCTATGGCCCATGGACCCGTCCTGGGTCCTTATTTGGAGACGCTTGGGCCGTCTTGGGAGCATTCATTGGACTGGCGTTTGCTAGATCTTCTTCGTTCAAGCTTTTCTTCCCGAATCCTGAAGTTCTTATTGCTGATGTGATGCCTCCGAGTCCTCATCTCCTCACTCTTACCTCCTCTCTTAGACCGCTCTCACTCGGACCCAACCGCAATCAAACTCACCCACACGCAGACACGGAAATCCAGACACACTTAAACTCAGACCCACGCACACCCAGACTCATCCACACTCAGACTTACTTAGATTCGGTCATCCGCGCTCAGACTCACTCGCGCCCAGTCTCACCACACTCAGACTCACTCGCACTCGAAGTCGCTATCACTCAGGCATCACTCAGGCCCACTCGCACCGATACCCACTCATGCTCAGATTGATTCACACTCCCACGCACTCACACTCAGACTTGCAAGCGCTCAGACTATGCACAGTCGCATCCACTAAGACTTATTCACGCTCAGACCCACGCGCGCGTAGGTCATATGGTCGCCGCGATATAGCAGGCATGGCATTCGGGTGCCCCAGGGGGGAGCCGCCATGGGGTGTCTGACGGGCCCGTTCGCGCACATGTTGCGGGATGTCTAAAGCGGGTCGCCTTTTTTTGGCGCCCCGTTCGCCTCTCTTTCGACAGCCCCATGGCCACGGCGACGCAGCAGCGCATAGCACGTGGGCACCCCATGGGGGAGCCGCCAGGGTGCGTATCGCGGGCCCGTTCGCGCCCAGATCGTGGGGATGCCTGCAGCGGGTCGCCTTCCTCGGCGCCTCGGACTCCTCGCTGTGAAAGGTCACATGGCCACCGCGGCACAACGGGGCAGAACACGTGGCACCCGCAACGGGGGAGCCGCCAGGGTGTGTATATCACGGGCCCGCTCGTGACCGGATTGCGTGCCTGTCTCGGGCGGTTCGCCTGCGTGGACGCTTCGGGCACCTTTCTGTTGAGTCCCATGACCACCACGGTACATTAGCGCACAGCACGTGGACACCCCAAGGGGGGGCCGCCATGGGGTGTTACGCTTGCCCGTTCGCATCCAGCTTGCGGGGGTGTCTCTAACGAATCGCTGATTCCTCCCCGACTCCACTCTTTTCAGGGCCCTATGACCACTGCGATGTAGCAGGCGGAGCACTTGGGCGCCCTAATGGGGGAACCGCCAAGGGGTGTTACACTCGATTGTTCGCGCCCAATGTGTGGGGATGTCTCGAGCGAACCGCTCACTTGCCCTCCTCCTGCTCCTCTCCTTTCACCGCGACGTAGAAGGCATAGCACTTGGGAATCTCAAGGAAGAGACGCCAGGGGAGATCCACCCATGCCCAGACACAATCACATGCATACCCAATTGTGCCCAGCCAGCCGTACCTAACCCCACTCTCGCTCAGCCTCGCCCATTCCAGACACTCATGGAAAAAGAATCTGCGATGACAGACATGCACATCTGGTGATCCCCTCGCCCTGATGGCCTTACGATGATCCAAGGCGGCCCAGGAGCCCCTCAATATCTCACATTGCACCGGCCTTGCAGACGTGCTGCAACGGATTTCTGCGTGGATTTCTGCGTGGATCTTTGCCCGAAGCGGCGAGCGAAAAAATAACATAATTTCTCGTGGAATCTTTTTGGTCATCATTCCTGGCCCAAACAAATCCGCGCGAAATTCACCTCGAAACCTGGAACGAAATGCTCCAGGACACTCCGGGCCCATCCGATCGTTTTCCGAGCGAAATCCGCTCTGCGATGCTGGCGCCATGACATCTCCTCGCGACGACCCTTGAGCTCCCACGAGGGGCCCAAGAAGCCTCCAAGACTGTACCCCTCCTCCCCGCCCTCCCGGTCTTCCCCTCCCCCCTCCTCCTCCTCCTCCTCCTCCTCCTCCTCCTCCTCCTCCTCCTCCTCCCTCCTCCTCCTTCCTCCTCCTCCTCCTCCTCTCCTCCTCCTCCTCGTCCTGCTCTCATCTCCCCTCCTCCTCCTCCTCTCTCCTCCTCCTCTCCTCTCTTTTCCCTCGTCCTCCTCGCACCCCTTCCTCCTCCCTCCTCCCTCGTCCTCCTCGCTCCTCCTTGCTCCCCCCCCCCCGCTGAGGCCACGATGCGGCCGACAGGAAGCTCCGAATGCGCTCGGGACGCTCCCGATAGGCCCCGAAGATGCTCCAAGAGGCCCCCAAGAGGTCCACAGAGGCCCCCAGACGCCCTCAATGACCCCCCCAAAATCCGTCGAAAGGCTCCGCCGAGGCCCCCACGACGCCCTCGGGAGGTCTTCCAAGAGGTCCTGAGATACCCCGCAAGGGTCTCTGGTCCAACACCAGGGCACGATGGCGGGATGGGCAACCGACCGCTAAATGCTCACGCCTCATCCGAGTTTGGTGTGTTCTTCGTCTCCTCGTGCGCTTCGGGCCGAGGGCCAGCATGGCCTGGCCAGCCCGATGTCTGAAGAACTGGCAGCGCGTGCCGCACCGGTCCGCAGCCGTCGGGGCGCGCAGCTTGAATGGTACACACTGCTCATTTGCAAAGCCGCTCATTTCTAAAGCCGCTCATTTCGAATTAGAGACGCAGAATGAGAAGCGTAAGAATTATGCGTGCTGTTTCGGGCTTGCCCGCGAGACGAATAAGAAATGAGCCATGCGCATCTTCCTCCTCCCTCGTATTCGTCATGCAGGGCGACGGCGATGACACATGGGAGAACGACTCAAGCACAGCTGTCTGCCGCTGGGCAACACACTTGGAGGCGGGCAGGCAGGCCTTCCCTGTCGGTCACGGGACCCGCCCGGCGCGGGGGCTGGGGTGGCTTGGGGCACCGCGGTGCCTCGGTGCACTATGCTCTCCTCCCGAAGGCCTTTGAAGGGACCCCAGGACACACAAATAAATACACACAAATAAACATATGCCCCACATTTTCGAATATTTTCTAGGTTTCTGTCTTCCCCCCCACTTCCCATATTTTCCTATCTTTTCTGGGGAATCGAGGATTCATTGTGTCTGTGTGTTCCTTTTCCTCCTGAGCCTCTTCTCGGGGGCGGCCAAGAGGGGGGCGTCTAAGAGGGGGGGGCGCAAATCGTGGCCCGCGGCATGTGCGCGGCCCAGGGTGGGGGCCACGGCCGAATGAACTAGGAAGAGGCGCCATGAAATCTGGGGAGACATCCTGGCCCCCGCCATGACATCCACCCCCCGCCAGTCACCACCCCCCTCTTTGCCGCCCCCGATCTTCCAGACGGCCCCATGCACCTGCGTCAGCCGCGAGAGCCAGCCATCCGGGCCGCTCCGTGTCCACCGAGGCGGCGCCCTCGTACCCGTGGCCCTTCCCCCGGCAAGCTCTTTGAGACGACGATGCAACACGTCAACTGACGACGACGCCTCCCACGCGGAGGTCGGGAGCCCCAATGTCTGAATCAACACCCGCAGCGCGGCTGCGTGACGGGCCCCCCTCGGGTTATCTTGCTCCCATCGTACTTAAGGACCACATCCCAGAAATAATTTCGAGCACCCGGAAAAGTGTCGAAAGAGTGTCGAAACAGTGTCGGACGAATGTCTCCCAGGGCCCGACACGTGAAAACCCTGGAGTTTCGGTACTTTTTTGGTGCTCGACATTTTTCTTTCTGGTGATCAAGGCTAAAGTAGGTTGGAACATGATAACCCTCGGGCACCTCTCCATCTTAGTCCTGCGCTGCCCTATCTCGTTCTCGTCTTCGTCCTCGTGCTCGTCGTCGTCGCCCTCACTCGTGGGAGCCTCCCATACCATCTTGTCGGCTCCTGCGAATCGACGGTAATCAACGCTAGTCGACGCTCATCGACGCTCAATCGACGCTTATCGACGCTGGCCGACGCTACATCGGCGCTGTATCATCGACCTCCAAACGCTGATCGACGCTATAAGCAGAATCAAGAGGGTATATACCAGGCTCCCATGCCTTGCTGTCGAATCCCCGCCCCTCCCCTCTCCGTCGCGCCTGAAAGCGCGGTGGTGGTGCTCTCTCCTGCCCACGTGAACCACAGCGGAGTTCTGAGCGAACAGGCAGCAGGCCTCAGGGGCAGTTCGGCGGCTCGCGCGCGCGGGCAGCACGGCGGCAGACGCACGGAGCTGCTGGCACCACCAACGTGCCGGCGAGCTCATGCTGCAGAAGCTGCATGGATTTCGTGTTCGCCTCAAGACTGCTGGCCACAAGGAGGCGTGATGGCCATCGCAAATCAACGACCTCCGAATTCAGCATGGCATTCTATGCACCGGCCCTTGCGATGCTCGCCGTTCGCATCACGACACGCATGAAAAGATATCGCGCAGCAGATCCGCAATCCCAACCCAAAAGGGGTGAATGGCGATGCTGCGCTATGCAGCGCTGTACCGCCCAGGCCAAAGCATCGACCCATATCACTGTTGCAGCACGTCGCCGGCTAGGACGCGAACTGCACGTGATGCCAGGCCATCGTCAAACACAAGAGGGCGGAATGGGGAAGAACAAGGAGGAGGACTAGGAGGAGGAGGAGGAGGAGGAGGAGGAGGAGCAGGAGGAGGAGGAGGAGGAACATGTCGTGCGTGCGCACACCGTCGGGGCTCTGACCTCGGCACTCGCACAACTGCCCTCACGGGACGAGTTACAAAGGAGGGCGGAAGAGGAATGAGGCAAAGGCAAACAAGTAGAGGGAGGATCAGAAGGGAAAAACATAGCGAAACATACAAGAGTTGCGAATGTCAAGCGGCATGCAAAAAGAGATACGCTCCTGAGACGATGCGCATCCGAATGCCAACATCAGTCCAGATCAGCCCCTGCAACCGGTCGCCCCCACACCCTAGAGAGCCTAGCATTTGCACGAGTGCTCGCTCGTAAAGACATTACTTAACCAGAAACTTTCGAAAGTCTGCGTGGATTTCTTTGACCGTCTCCGAATGCCAACATCAGCCCAGATCAGCCCCTGCAACCGGTCGCCCCCACACCCTAGAGAGCCTAACATTTGCACGAGTACTCGCTCGAAGGAAGAGTTTGCTTAACCAGAAACTTTCGAAGGTCTGCGCGGATTGCTTTGACTGGCGCTGGGCCCTCCCTGGCGCGCGGAGGGCGCCAGAGGTGTCCAGCGCCGATCCGGAAATCAGCGCGGACCTTTTACGTGTATGTTTTTTTCCAAACCATCCTGTGGTGTTGGGTCCTCGTTTTGAAGAGACGGTGCCCCGTGTTCCTCTACTCTCCTCTCCTCTGCTCCTCCCCTCCTCCCTCCTCCCTCCCCTTCCTCCCTCCTCCCTGCGTTTCACCCACCCAGTACAGCGCTTCGTGGCCCCATAGGGAGCCCCACCGAAGATCCCAGGGACCGCCCGCATGCGTCCCGCACACCCAGTACAGCGTTTCGTTGCCCCCTCCTCCCTCCTCCATGCGTTCCACCCATCCAGTACAGCGCTTCGTGGCACAATAGGGAGCCCTGCCGAAGGTCCCAGTGGGACCGCCCGCATGCGTCACACACAGACACACAGACACACCGACACACAGACACACAGACACACAGACATACAGACACACAGACACACTGACCACAGACCACACACACCACACAGCACACAGCGCACAGCACACAGCACACAGCACACAGCACACCGCACACAGCACACAGCACACAGCACACGGCACACAGCACACAGCACACAGCACACAGCACAGAACACAGAACACAGAACACAGAACACAGAACACAGAACACACAAGACACAAGACACACGACACAAGACACAAGACACAAGACACAAGGCACAAGGCACAAGACACAAGACACAACACAGAACACAGAACACAAAACACAGAACACAGAGCATAACACAGAACACAGAACACAGAACACACAACAAACAACACACAGCACACAGCACACAACACACAGCACACAGCACACAGCACACAGCACAGAACACAAAACACAGAACACAGAACACTGAACACAGAACACAGGCCACAGAACACTGAACACAGAACACAGGACACAAAACACAGAACACAGAACACACACCACACACACCACACTCGCACACACACGCGCACACACACGCAGACACACACGCACACACACATGCACACACACAACACACACATACCACACACACCACACACAACACAGACCACACACAGACACACACAACCACACACAGACACACACACAGACACACACACAGACACACAGAGACACACAGAGACACACACAGACACACCCAGACACACACAGACACACACGGACACCACCACACCCACACAAAGACACACAACGAAACACACACAAAGACACGCACACAACGACACACACACAGACACACACACAAACACACACGACCACACACAAACACACATACAAACACACATACAAACACACAAACCAACCCAACCAACCATACACACACAACCACACACAACCACACAACCACACACAGGCACACACACGCAAACACACACAACCACACACAACCACACACAACCACACACAACCACACACAACCACACACACCAACACACACAACCACCCACACAAACACACACACACACGCACACACACACACGCAACCACACACAATCACACACACACGCACACACACGCAACCACACACACAAATCCGCACACACACAGAGAACACACACACACGCGACCACACACACACACGAACACACACACACACAACACACACAAACACACACAAACACACACACGCACACACTGACACACCCACACACACAAACGCGCACGCACACACGCACACGCGCACACACGTACACACGCACACACGCACACACGCACACGTGCACACGCGCACACGCGCACACGCGCACACGCGCACACGCGCACACGCGCACACGCGCACACGCGCACACGCGCACACGCGCACACGCGCACGCGCGCACGCGCGCACGCCCACACGCGCACACGCGCACACGTGCACACGCGCACACACGCACACGCTTACACGCTTACACGCTTACACGCTTACACGCGCACGCGCGCACGCGCGCACCTGCGCACGCGCACACGCGCACACGCGAACACTCGCACACACGCACACGCACGCACACGCCCACACGCGCCCCTACACGCGCCCACACACGCCCACACACGCCCACACACGCCCACACACGCCCACACGCGCCCACACACGCACACGCACGCATACACACGCACACGCACACGCACCACACACGAACCACACACGCACCACACACGCACCACACACGCACCACACACGCGCCACACACGCACCACAGACGCACCACACATGCACCCCACACGCACCCCACACGCACCCCACACGCACCCCACACGCACCCCCCCCCGCACCCCACACGCACCCCACACGCACCCCCCCCGCACCCCACACGCCCCCCTCCCCCCGCACACACACAGACACACACGCAACACACACACACACACACACACACACACACGCACGCACGAACGCACGCACGCACGCACGCACGCACGCACGCACACGCACGCACGCGCACGCACACGCACGCACGCACGCACGCACACGCACGCACGCACGCACGCGCACGCACGCGCACGCGCACGTACGCGCACGCACGCACACGCACACGCACACGCACACGCACACGCACGCACACGCACACGCACGCACACGCACACGCACGCGCACACGCACACACACGCAAACTCACACGCACGCGCACAGACACACACACAGACACACACACACACAGACACACACAGACACACACAGACACACACAGACACACACACAGACACACACAGACACACACAGACACACACACACAGACACACACAGACACACACAGACACACACAGACACACACAGACACACACACAGACACACACACAGACACACACACACACACAGACAAACACAGACACACACAGACACACACAGACACACACACAGACACACACACACAGACACACACACACACGACACACACACAGACACACACAGACACACACACAGACACACACAGACACACACAGACACACACACAGACACACACGCACGCACGCACGCACGCACGCACGCGCACGCGCACGCGCACGCGCACGCGCGCGCACGCGCACGCGCACGCGCACGCGCACACGCACACGCACACACCCACACACCCACACACCCACACACCCACACACCCACACACCCACCCACACACAACACAACACAACACAACACAACACAACACAACACAACACAACACAACACAACACAACACAACACAACACAACACAACACAACACAACACAACACAACACAACACACACACACACACACACGCATCGCCAGGGCCCGCTGGCGTTACGACGGATTCGGTTTTTGTTGCGGCATCGGCGGAGCGTGCAGCATTGCGCTGCTGCCACCGCGTGCCCCACTGCCCCCTCCTGCACTCTCCTCTTCCCTCCGCCTCTTCCTCTCTCCGTGGCTGCCCGAATTGGGTAGTGAAGTTTTGGCGTATCTCGGCCGGGACCCCGCACGGGAGCACAGCTCCGAGGTGAATGATACGTTTTACTGCGAATTCGTATCCATGGGTGCCTCCTGGTGCAGCGATGGCTTGGCTGTGCACACACACACACACGCATGGGTGGCTCAAACACGCGCTCTCACCCACCCGCGTTCCCACATGCTCCCGTGAGCCTTGTGTGGAGTCGCGCGGTGCAGGTGCGCCCCATCACGCCACCCGGAACCGACTGACAGCTTTCCACGCCGAGACAGCGCGCACACAGCACGGGTTGCATGCAGCGCCGGCTGCAGCTCCGTGGTTGTCTTGCGTCGCGTGTGTTTGTGCGTAGGTTGGCTCCACCAGTGTGGGGAAGGGGCCGGTCCTGGCGGTTGGGTGCTTTCAAGAGCGGCGTGCGGGGTGCGTATTTTGGTGTTGGGTGGCTGCACAGCGGACCGTGCCCCACCCACGTACTTCCCCCTCACCCACCGCCGCCTGCATTGTTTGCCTTGGCGCGCGGTTTGGGTTGAGACGGTGTGAAGATACGGCGTCCCGCATTAGGCGGGGGAACGAATGAACACACACACACACCCACACACACACACACA